CTCGCTCGCTCTCTTGCGCACACAATCACACAAGCAGCCACAAAGCATCTACCTGACTGTGTCCCTTATGGCATTCCTGTTTCCTATTATCTAATCATCTATCAGTCTATTTCACTGCCCATTTCTTATCTATCCAAACGCCAATCCTCAGTTATGTGCACCTACCAGGCCAAGTTTCATCAATCTACCCAACTACCATCCCTCCCTTCCCCTTGCGCCCTCCCCCTTCCCTCTCCTCCTTTTTTGCAACAAAAAGGACTCTACATCTTTTACGATTTGGAAGCCACAACTTGCGGATGCAATTCCTCTACAACAGTAGAAAGCAAAACAAACCAAGACTCTGAGGTGAAAATGCTACGTACTAAATATCATGGAAAGCCATGAGAAGGAAAAATCAACTTCAAAAACGCGTCTAATCCAAGCCCCCACCATCTCCACGCCTGGCCTGCCGAGCATAACAACCTCCGGCGCGGTATCGTGGCGGTTTCTCGCAGTCCAGCAAGGGAAAAACCCAGGCCTATTGTCGTCCCATTCTAGGAAAACTGAGCCTCTCAGAGCCCCCTCCCCCCCTTCCCCCCCCCCCGGTTGGGGTGGTTGGAGACTTGTCATCATCCCACACTCAACCTTCGCTTCACGAGCAGGTGCCTCCGTTGCGCGCATCTTAAAATTCAGTTTTGAACTCCTCCATCAATCAAAAACACTGCCCTCGTCAGCTCATCCGCAAAGAGGAAGTTTCTTCCGTCAAACCAGTTAAACCGCCACTACCTTTCCGGCTGGAGTCCCAAGTGGGAATATAGCCTAGACCGCATTTTTGGGGGACCGGGCCGCCAATAGGCCGCCGTTGATCAATTTCGTCGGCAGACTTTACTTCATTACCGCGGCCTCTGAAACTCGCAGGGCCTCGCCCGAGGCCGACGTATGGGCAAAGGTAGTGGTCCTTTAACGCAGTCCATTCCCAAACACCAATCGATCTAAATTATCTACTCGCCGACAATCTCGCATATGGAGGTTGTCCATCAGACGACTCACACAGCCCACTCCCAATGCCAAGCAATTAAACTATGATTTGTATCCACTATAGAATCTCTCATGCACCGCTACCATCGGTCATCAGACAGTACGACGATGACGATGACAGCTGCGATGCACTCGATATATGGTGTTAACCATACCTGCGGCGCACCAGTACGGTGTGCCCTGCGGTGCGGTGCGCTGTGCACGGTGCTGTGCTGTGCGCGGTGAGCTCATACACGATGTGCAAGCGCACCTGCGCTGCATGAGCGTGACGGGGGTGTATCAAGATGCGCTGCAGCTATGGTGCTAACCAAGCGACACGCGAACATCAACAATTGACGACAAGTACAAGGAAAGCAATGAACACGTCGTGTGGAACGGACACTGCAACGATAAGGTGCCGAGTATTGTGAGGGTCCTCACAAGTCGACAGGTGGCAGTTGTACAAGCCGCCACTTGTAAAAAGGTTCAGAAAACAGTTGCTTGATAAAATGTGAGCAACAGCTGACTGAAAGTTTGACAGTAAGTAACAGTTATGGGTCAGTGAAAAGAGATCAGCGATACACGTTTTTCTTTCATTGACGACACGACAAAGGCTTGACGATACGACGGCGTATGATGGGGTGGACGATCGGCGAGAGATGGGCGAACGAACAAGATGAGAGAGGAAAACAATGTGTGTTGTGGGTGCACCTGTTGCGCGTTTTTTCACAGCTTGGCTTTCTCGTAAAGCAGCAGTCCAAGATTCCGCTGTGCGCTTTTGTGTCCCTGCTCCGCCGCCTTGTGAAACCATTCCTCCGCCCTGTCGTAGTTCTTGGCAACGCCCTTGGCGTCCCGATAGCAGAGAGCGAGGTGATGCTGCGCATCTGAGTGGCCCTGTTCGGCCGCCTTCTCGTACCACTTCACTGCTTCGCTGAGATCTTTCTCGACACCGACACCACGCTCGAAGCACCATCCCAAATTGTGTTGTGCCATTGGCAATCCTTGTTCGGCTGCCTTGAGGTACCACTTGGTCGCCTCCGTCTCGTTCTTCTGAATGCCCTCTCCGTTCTCGTAGCAGTGTCCGAGGTGGTTCTGTGCTCTCGCATCGCCCTGGTTTGCCGCAAGCTGGTGCCATTTGACCGCTTCGACGAGGTCCTTGGCGACGCCCTTGCCCTCGTAGTACAGGCACCCAAGGTTCCACTGCGCATTCGCGTTCCCTTGAACGGCACTCTTCTGGTACCACTCGGCAGCCTTTGCCTCGTCCTTCGCCACTCCCTCTCCCCTCGCATAGCAGATACCCAGCCGACTCTGTGCGAGAGCATCTCCCTGGTCCGACGCCTTCTGCAGCCACTCCACAGCCTGCTCCATAGAGAAGTCGTCGGGCCGTACTCCTTCAATCATATCTGGAACACAAACCAAACAAATAACAAGCACGAGCAAAAAAATCGTCGACAGCACAACACAACAATCTACCATCGTGAACAGCGGACCAACATACTTGCAACCAGCACTTTTATCTCGGACTACAAAGCCAGATTCTGTCGAAAGGTGGTTGCATGCAACAGCATGATGGGTCCGGACTCCGGAGTAAACCCAAATACAAGGCAACCAGCCAGAGACGCACACACTCTGATCTTACCTGACGGATTCACAGGAACTTTGAATCGGGCCCAGAAAACGGGACCAGGGGGCGACTCGGGCCTGCAATGTTCCAGAACAGACCCATGCCGGCACCCTGTCTGTGACCGCATGACGAGCAATGAATAACAAGCTCTATGCATCAAATTGGGAAACACTCGGAAACAAAAAAAAAAAAAAAAAAAAAAAAA